TTAATGCTCGGTTAGTTACAACATCGCGTAGCTATTCCCTTCCTGGTTTCTTGAAGAAAGGTTATTAAAACTGAAACACCTGCGCTTGCCTTTACAGGTAAAGAGGTGAAATTCAAATGCCAAAGGTCAGAGGTCAGAAGTAGTTCCATTTTTCTTGCTGTCAGAGACTGACTCTTGGAGGTGGGGTGCAAAAGACCACATATTGTGGCATACTGTGTCCCTGCTACATTGGCCTGCTACGGTTACAACACAGTACGGTCGGCCATAATCCAAAACAGGCAATAAAGAATAACAGCAAAAACACACTGCTGACACGGGCATTCAATTTACTCTTGACTCCCAATGCACCAAACAACCGTTTCATCCATGAGATGTGGTGGTAAGCAAAACTAGGATTCCAAATTAGACCCATCAATTGTAGTGTACTACTACTAGGTCAGTGATTTGGGGGGTGTCATCTTGTCAACTAAGCAAATAACTAAAGAGTTTCATAAAAGAGAATCAGACCTAAAATTAACTGAACTGAGCTTCCACATGTAAATGTTTTCTGAGATACGATGAGAACACAACACATACAGTCATGGGGCTTACAATTAGCTGCATTGTCACTGGTCTTAACGAAGACCTTTTCCTACAAAGCAACTTTTAATTAGGCTACGTCTGCTGGTTAGATTTCAGAGAGTGGAGATTTAAAGGAAAAGAGTTCAGGTGAATTTTCAATGGCCAGTCCAAACATTTCTGAACCGGATCTAACGGCGTGTGGCACTGCCAGGCAGAGATGCCGTCCAAGGCATTCCGAGCAGGTGGGACAGGAGGCAGACCCTCAGGAAGTCCTTTTGGACCTGACAGATATCACGGCCTGGAGCGTGTGGACTGTACCGGAGAATGCAGCTCCAGGCCAGGACTGTGATGTGCCGTGTTTTCTCCCGCCTGAAAGCATCTCACAACTGCTGTCTGCCACGCGGCAGTCCTGCACGGTTGTCACGGCCTGTGCGTAGCATCAAAACTTGCACAACTGGCAGCAGCAGCCTGGAAAAAACCCAGGAATGACAAGGGAGCAACCTTGTAAGGAAGGAATGCTGCATTGCCAAGGTGTTGATAGCACAGAATATGGGATCCCATATGGAAAAGCAAGAACATCAAGACCCTGAGTCAAAGAGCGAGTCAGAAGAATCAGACCCAATATGAACAGGGACATATTGGGCCAGATCATTCTTTGTGTGGGGTGGGGGGGTTCACCCTATGCATTACAGGATTTTTAGCAGCACCTCTGGCCTCACCTGCTAGATGGCAATAATGACAAGCTGTGACAGCCAAAAATGTCTCCAGACATTGTCTTATGGCCCCTGGGGACCAAAACCTCCCTCAGTTGAGAACACTACCTTAACCTATTTATTTTGCTTACATTTTCCTTTTTCATGAATACACAAAGTAATAGGTTTTTTAAAAATTCAAAGTAAATTTTAATGAGCTCTTTCAATAAAGTTTCTAAGAGATAAACTACTGTGCTATAATTTGCAGCAATTTTTTTCTTAGTGGTACATCAAATGCTTCTTAAATCGATGACATCTTCAATTCAATGAAATTTAGCCGCCCACCATTCTTTCCCCTTTGTTGTGAAACCTTCATCCTGATTTCCTTTGGGAGAATTACTTCTACCCTGCTGTGTACAGTTTCAGTAGTACTCAGTTCTTCCCTACCTAGTAGTTCTCTCATCTTCCTTTTGATTCTCTTGAGCTATCCAATATGCTTCTAAAAATTTCCTCGCTTCCTAAGCTACCCAGAGTTCAGTTTCAGTCTTTCAACCAAAAAACCTAACTGAAACAAAAGTCCTTCTTTAAGCTAGCCTGATGGAAGACATTTTGGATTAGCTCGCTGCCACAAAGTTCATCAGCTTATTAAAAATGTTACCGGTGGGGCACCTGGGTGGCTCAATGGGTTGAATGTCCAACTTCGGCTCAGGTCATGATCTCGCGGTTCCTGAGTTCAAGCTCCGTGTTGGGCTCTGTGCTGACAGCTCAGAGCCTGGAGCCTGCTTCAGATCCTGCGTCTCCCTCTCTCTCTGCCCCTCCCCCCGCTCGCACTCTGTCTCTCACTCTCTCTCTCTCTCAAAAAGAAACATTAAGAAAAAAATTTAAAAAAGAAAAAAATACTACTGCTTCCCTTACCATTCACCACATAGGCAGCATGAATGGATTATAGATGAAGCCAGAATTGTGGAAACAGTGTGATGGGCTTTAGGGATTCATTGTACTTATCTCTGATTTTCAGTGTGCTTTAAAATGTCCATAATAAGAAGGTAAAACAAGGATAACAAATACTCTGTAGAGAAAAATAACAAAATCTAAATGATTTCCAAAGTCCTTTTTGCACAAAATTGATTCCTTACACATACGTGTACCTACGTGCCAACCTTAAGTGCTTGGGAAACTACCTGCAGTTATGTGTGCATCTGGACAGCAAGGGAAAACAATGAAGCAGCATTACAAGTGACGGGACAATGGCACAAGGAACCATTCTCTGAAACTGCTTACCAGGGTTTACTCAATTAAGGCAACAGATACAATAATGTATAAATGCCTCGTGACTCCAAAACGTTGCTTTTAAAAGACTATGCATAAAAATTTCTTAATGCTTCTTCTAAAGTTTCTTCTGCAGTAGAAAAAAGAAAAAAAAAAAAAAAACAGCTATTGATTCTTCCAAGAA